TACTACCTGAAGTTTGTAGAAGTCTGCCTTTGAGGCTGACGCCTATGCTGCAGATGAGTAGTATAGAATTGGCCTTATAATGCACTTATAATGCATCCTTCTCTTTTTGTTGAGAGACAGTTCAGAGTAATTTCCAAGGAGTGCGGAAAGTTGGTGGCGATACCATAGGCTTTCTCTGTGACTTTCTTAATATGACAAGTCCATCCAAGCCTTTGGTTAATGATAACCCCTAGATAACTTATATTGTTTACACGGTTCAGAGCTTCCCCTACCTGCCTCCAGTGGCGCCAACTTATATATGGGCTCGAGCCCATCCAATAACTTTCAGCTCTAGCCTACCCAATTTGCATTTTTTTAAGGAAAATTTCACTCTGTTGATGTTTAGAAAAACCAGTAGCAACAGTTCAATGCTACGTAAGATATACAGGTTTTATTTATTTTTAAACGCATTTAGGTTTTATTTATATTTTTTGGTGTTTTAAATTGTTTCAAATAAATATTTTTTTTCTCTTAGGATATTTAAAAAATGAAACATATTGTAAGCTTTCTGTGAAAAAGCTGTATAATAAGATTTTTTTTTAATAAAGAGGGAAAAAAGTGCTGAAATGTAAATGTTCCCCATTTTCAAACGTCGGAATATGCAAATTTTGTTTGTGACGTCGAAAATCAAGCAAAAAGAGTAGAGAAAAGGTCAAAAGAAATGACCGACACCCGTAAAACACCTTGTTTTGATGAAAGAATGATATCTGAGCAAAATATATGATGTTAAAATGAAAATACGATTTCATAAAAACTATATGCTTTTACTTCTTTATTTATTTAATTCATCATAGCTTAATTTAAAGTTATGATCCTGCCACTCCCTAAAAAAGTCACGCCTTTTTATTCACTAAAGAGTTGAGCCCACCCAATACTTTAAAAAATTGACTCCACTTCCTGCCTCTCGGTTGATAAAATAGTACTTGATTATTTTCTTTACTCAGTAGTTTTATATCTGAATCACTTTTTGTGTAGTAGCATATTGAAAAAAAAAAAAAATTAAAAACCACTTTTTCATTAAAATGGGGGAACACTGCTCTGATACGTAATTTTTAATGCCCCTATTAATACTTTTTGCCATTTTTAACATCTTCAGTACTCTTTTCAACTTTTTATTGCCCCTTTTTAATCCTGGGAGAAACTCTGTTATATTATTAGTTAATAATTTTTTTTATTTCGTTTTGTTGTCTGTAAGGTCTTCAATATGGTCGTAATGGCATCTTTAGTTGCTTCTTTGCGGAATTACAATGGCAGCAACAAAAAAAAAAGTAAAATTTTCCGCCTCTGCTACTGGTTTTATACTTTGCGAATTGCGCACCAGAAATGCGTGCTATAATCGCAATTCCTGTTCATTTGCCTTGAAACTTTGATCATTTGCATGTTCGATGAAGATGCTTTTGCATACCAAATTTCGTCACGATCGCAGTCCTTCTAGGTGCTTCGAGCTTTTTGCAAAAGAGTGTATATATCCGCTCTTCCCAATTCGGAATTTATTATTTTCCATTTTGTATATATTTTTGGATATAATATGGCTCCTGCAGTGTTATGGTGTCAGTGTCACAAGCAATATTTTCAATAGCAGAGAGCCGGCATGCGGCGGCCATACAGTGATGTTCGTATAATAAAACCCATTTGTAAATCATAAATTCAGTTTATAGTTAAAAATCCAATATAAGTAAACTCAGTTAAAATTCTAATACAGAACAGAAACAGTAATTCAATCAACGTTTGAATATATATCAAAGTGTATAAAATTGTAATATCAGCAGAAGACTACGAGAAATCAATACAGAATAAAAAGTATTGTCCCTACCGTAGTGTAAATCATATCTAGTATACAATTATTATATATCAAGATGCTCTCAAATAAACTGAATTTCGGACTGGACAGTCCCGAGAGAACGCATCATAAGATTCATCATAACCCAACCCGTATCGTTTATTTATATGAATACAGTTACAACATTAAAACTTTTCACTTTGGGATTCTTTTCGTTCGCGTTAGAAAGAATATCTTCTACAGTTTATCTCACAGTGTGATCAAAATTAACGCATTTAGTACACTCCTCAGGATCCATTACGATCTGGCTGGGTAAGCTTTCCACCCTATTGCCAGTCTCTCTTCTTAAAAAATAACACTTTGACACCCAAACAAAATACTAGGGGGACCGGAAAGTAATGTCGTTTCTGCGCATGTCGACCAACAACATGCTAAGGGCAGAAGTGGAAACAAATCCATGTCAAACACTCTTAACCAACCTTGGTCGACCATCGAACATTTAAGCAGAATGGAAAAAATAAGCAAGCAGGGTTTGAGTCCCCCATAATCTGTCCGAAAAGAAAAGCCAACCTATCCATAACATGCAACGTATTGCTTCAACGGCACCATACAGAACCGTTTTTTGATCGTTTGCTTAGTGGAGACAAAGAAAAAAAACAACTCCTATGTATCCAAAACTCAAAAGGCAGTTTTAATAGGGGTTACAAAGGGTTTACTTTCACTTTGGAAATCTTTTCGTTCGCGTTGGAAAGAATCTTCAGTTATCTACAGTGTGTAAAACTTACGCAATTAGTAACACCTCAGGATCCATTACGCTGGCTGGAAGCGAAAAGGCGTTCGGGTGTTAGATGGGTATTCGCGGAATTGTTCATTGTGATGAAACTGGAAAAAACTGTTAATGTAGACCTTTATTGTGAACAATTGGATCTAGTGAACTAGTGAACCAATCTTTAATCGAAAAATATCTGGCGATTGTCAACGGAAAAGACGTCATTCTGCAACACGACAATGCAAGACCGCACTGTGCAAGACGAACAATGGAAAAATATAATGAGTTGGGGTGGGAGGTACTGCCTCACCCATCATATTCGCCCGATATCGCACCTTCGGATTTCCATTTATTCCGATCCTTACAACGTTTTCTTAGTGACAAAAAAATTTGGATGATATCCAAAACGCCATCTCGAGATATTTTACTCAAAAACCAATTGATTTTTATCTGGGATTGAAATCGGCATACTAGATGGCAAAAGGTTGCTGGTAACGAGGGTGATTAAAAATAAAAACTTGTTACAAATTTATTGGTTTGAATTTAATGTAAGAAAGCGACATTACTTTCCGGTTCCCCTATTAGTAAAAATACAGTGGGAGACCTCACGCTCACTATCTCTGATACAGAAAAATGGTTTCACAGTCTCCATTACACGTACAATCTTCTTTTAGCTTTTCGACAATTTCTGAGTTCAACTCAACATGGTATCCGCCAAAGGGTCGGATGTTCCGTGGAGGACGTTTTAGAGGAAATTGGGTCGCACCCATGTTTATACATGTAGAAAACCACGAAAACGTCCATGCAACCAGCCCGTTGGTTGGAATTCAAACCATGGACCGAGCCAATCTTCCACTTTGTCAAATATAAGACCTGCTGTGCGTTCTGAATAACTTAGCTAGATGAATTACAATAACAATAAAATATGGATGGGAAACGTTCTGGGAGGTGCATTATAACTATAAGAATATTTAGCCGTCAGACAAACAGACAGAGAAATGAAATCATTTTAAATTTATTCTACTTCTTCATCTGTGAGTAATAAAATTAAAATATACAAACAGAAATTTTCTAACCAATCCGGCCTTGGTTAAAAATTCAAAGCCTTCTTTCGCAATTAGTATAAATTCAAAAATTTAAATGTAACTTGACTGGAGACTATAAGTTTTGCTTAGACCGCGATAGAAATTCAAACCCATGACATACCAAGTCTGCATCTAACCTCAGTCTAAAACATCCTAATCAAGACGGGTATTGGAGTTACCAAACAGATTTTACTTTAATCCGTCAAGTGCAGAAGAGTACCGCAGACAACACTGTCGCACGCCTGTTCTTAATTCTTCTCAACTTTTTAGTAAAAACTGCTTGGCATTCAAATCTACATAAATTCTAGAACAAGCGATCCTAGTGACGAAAACAGGCGGAAAGAAAAGAAGTAAATTAAATAGCCTTTCGTACCATGAATTTAAACATAAACCTTACACTTTTAGTCTTGCAGATCAGTTTACTTTTGACGTCAAATCTGTCCTACGCAGTTTTAATGCTTTATAATAATAACAATCATTGAAGATATTTGCAATACTTGAATTAGTCCTTTAAAAGCAGAATGTTCCATACGGTTCTATAATACTTTAAACGGTACACTGCCAACAGTTCTAGAATTGTGAAGACAGTCAGATAACCACAAACAACAAAGTGAAGTATTAAAAATGAACTTATTTATTAACACGGCAACCTAGTAATTTCACAAACTCAAAAATATACAGAAGCAATCTGAGAAGCTTGTGGGAAATACAAAAGAAATATTCAAGTGAAAGCGAATGGGCCGACCAGGGGCCGAGCGGTAAAGTCCCTGAACACTGGTAGTTCAGTCAGAGGTTCGAATCTCGGTAAACGGGCTGGATTTATGGTAGGTTTTTTTTGTGGTAGGTTTTTTGTGGTATATGTTTAACTCGTATACGAGCCATTTCCCTTAGAAAGGTCCTCCATGAAAGCATTCCTTGCATTAGGCAGATAACCCTGGAGTGCTTTGCCATAATTAAATAAAATCAAACCAAACCAAACTGAATGGTGAAATAAAATTTAGCACGCCTTTAACCAAGGCTTGGCTCAGATAAGTACTCACAAAGCAACCCCACTTTGCCAAAACATAAACCGAAGAATTCAAATCAAACTTCACGGAAGCGTAACAGAGTGACGATCAGGAAAAGCGGCCAAAGGCCCTCCCTCTAACTGTAGATTTTTGGCTTATTTATACCTTGACTAATTTCATTTTGATGGCAATTTACGAAAGAAGAATTCAAAGTACAATTAAACCAATAAGATAACTTGGTTAATTAACGTAAAACTCTATATGTTGCAATACACCAGTCAGTAATACAATGCCAAGCTAAATAAAGTATTACTACTTACTATTTTCTCCAGGCCATGGTGAGATGCTTTTATGTACTTTAAAGGTATCCTCGCGACAAGCGTCACTCAGAGGCCGGAACAATGTCTCCCATCCATCAGGCGCATAATGCCAGTGCGATGTCAATAAAACCAGTCTGTGGCTCTCTTTGTAGGCTTTGATGAAGCACCACAGCACATCATGAACTCCAGATGCAAATCCATAAGGATTAGTCAAATTGCAGATAAGAACAGGTACATTACTGCAGTTTTTTGGGTTCTGAAATGGAAATTATCAGTATAAGGTTCCAAGTTATTCATGAAAATCATCAAATTCAGTTATGTGATCTTACGCAGTTAAAAATTTCAAAACCATTTGAAGACGCTCGAAAAATTAATTACAATTAATTAATCGAATTAAATGATCATGATTCGCTAGAATATGTGGTTCTACCAAGTTTACAGTTAAAAGCATAAAATTTTCAGCGTTTTATTTATGATATTCCGTTTATTGCAAGTCATCCATACTGGGTGTTTTATTTAAATGCATTGCGAAGTCACTTAAACATTCCAGAACCTTTTTCAGTTATTTGTTAACTATCAAATTTTACTGCATAGATACAAAATCTGATACTCTCTAAAATGCATTTCGGTGCAATAAATGTAGTTTGGCCCACTTAATTAAGCCAAGTTTTTATAGTGTCCGGCTAGGATCTGTTTTTGAATTGCAAATTCAGCTTTAAGCTGTTTTAATAACGCCAAGTGGTGGAATTTTGATTGTATGCGAAAGTTGTGCTTTCTGTTCAATTTAACTGTAAATAGAAAAGATTTATTTAAAACCTTCATAAGACTTTGTGGCGTATTTTCAGGCGGTGCTATAACTCGCTTTCCAGTTTAATAAGGCTTCAAAGACTTTAATAATTTATAGTTAAAACCTTATAGACAAATTTACTTTTGGCATGTCGTCATAGTTATTCCTAAACATATCTCAGAGAAAATGATTTGGATAAATTTCTTGGATATTTATTCGTTCTTATATTTCAAACATACTAACGATTTTAACCCACTATAAATTTCACAGAGTCCTCAGATTTGCTCACTTAGAAATGGTGTTTTTATAAAAAGAAAACGTTTAGTAATTATTAATAAAATAAACTCTGAAGTCTATTCTCCTTTATTTACGATGTATAAGAAGATAAGCAAATCCTGTTTGTGTGCAGGAAAAGAAGTTCCATAGCCTTTTTTAACAGATATGCCACATTGACGTTATTATTAAGTAAAAATTTCCATAAAAAACTCTGTCTAAAATTTCTAAAATTTTTAATTTAAGCCGTTAAATTACATTATTTTTTGAGTAATAATATTTTGTTCATGAAAATGCTTGTGTTATGTTATAGGCAGGAGAAACCAGTTCGTTCAAACTGATGGAGGGGATATGAAAACTATTTCGAAAGATAATATTGTTTATTAAATTATCTTTATTTCCATAAAATCATGGAAATAAGTTTTTTCATTTAGCTTATTTCTGAATAAATATGTTATGTCTGAATAAATAAACTTCAGAGTGACTGTTTAAATTAGTTTTAAAATTTAATTTAAATCTCGAAAAAGAAGTATTATGTAAACAATATACTACTGAGTACAGAGGATAACTTGTGCTTAATATGTAAATAATGCAAGAATGATGCGCAACTAACTATGGAATATTACTTGTGTTTAAACTGTGAGTAAGCGGTTATCCTGTGCCGAGGTATGTTACAATATATGGAGTCAGAAATACAAAGTAGTTGCCTATTAATTTTAAGCGGATATTTAGAATAATAATTTTATAAAACGCTATTGGAACAATTGATTCTATATTTAAGCAGAAATTTAAGCTTAGATATCTAAAACAATGGTTCTAGAAACGTGGCATGTTCGTCCGCGGCTAGACATCCAGTTCTTAAAGAAAACCTTTCTTCTTTTCTTTAAAATTTAATAGAAATAAATTATAACTTTCAAATCGAAATCTCTAAATCTTCTTCTGTCGTCGTCGTATTACAACCTTCAATCGGCTCCATGTCTGCTTTCTCCAAAATATTGGCCAGTGATTTTACATTACTGTCCTCAGTCACACGCAATGAAAAATAAATTCGTGAGTTCCCATAGAATTTCTTTCGATAACTAAGTTACCAGTTAGATTACCTCATTCTGGTCAAACCAATTAGTGGTTAATTTAATTATCAAAAGTAGTTGAACTGTTAAAGCACAAAGTTCGATAGTGTGATTATTTCTAATGAGGAAGCCTGTCAAAATATTGGAACATGGGGAGGCTGAATTTTCGCTTATTCACTGAGTTCTCATTCTAAGGTAAGAAAGTATAATCTGAATTATTGCACTATTCTTCTCCAAGAAGAGATTCAGAGCATTTTTACCGGTTATTTCTCATGAAATCTTTTCCAAATATTCAAAGAAGCAATGTTTAAAAAAAAATTATATTCATACGAAACATAATCTGAGTAGTAAGTCAGCTCACCTAACCACTATACCGTCTGGGCGGCATAAATTTTATATATCATATAATATATTTTATTTATAATATAATTCGTCAATAGATGTTTTTCGATATTTATAATAAAAATATGTTTTTTTGATAGACTGAAACTCGTTTAGAATCCTATCCTGCAATCAAATGTTTTTTGAAACTTTCTAAAATTGTATCTTAAGCGTACCTTAGACTTGTAGAGTCATTAGGATTTTTTGAGAGGCAAGAGAGATGAAAAATTAACAACCGCCTTCGCGGAATCGAACCACGGACCTCTGGAATACAGGTCCAGCGTGCAGAACCACTACACCACGAAGGACGCTAGGAAAGGGGGAGAAATACCTTATATACTCCCCTTTTTAAAGGGCGACTAGGGTTTTTAGGAGACATAATCGCCAAATCCTGGGTGCGGAGAATCATCATCCACAACCCTTTTAGTTCGGGCGCCACTGTAGAGTCATTAGGATTTTTTGAGAGGCAAGAGAGATGAAAAATTAACAACCGCCTTCGCCGGGAATCGAACCACGGACCTCTGGAATACCGGTCCAGCGTGCAGAACCACTACACCACGAAGGAAGATAGGAAAGTGGGAGAAATACCTTATAGACTTTTAGTCGTGATTTTCGGATACAATTTTAAAAAGTCGGAAAACTACTTTTCTATTAAATTTATCTTTATAATAATTACTAGCATAAAGTACCTGGAGTTTCATTAAGCTTCTGCGAACAATTTGTTTCAGCTCACGGGCTTCTTTCTTTCTCCAGTTCTCCCAGCCGTCAAGACTTGCTAACCGCTTCACTTCCAAGTCAATAACCCTGTTTCCAAAAGTCTATATTACATTTAAAATTCAACATCATATTAATAATCATATAATATGAAATCTTATTAATTAAATCTTATTACTTCCCCACGGTGTTACACAACGTACATGGCCAATCTTAAAGAAGAGGGTAGCTGCCATATTTGCATTTGCTACAACATATTTCATTTATCATTTAACTTTGAGTTTTAAGTTGCATAGTTTTTGAGGATTTTTAAATCCAATAAACACTAAGCAAGCGATTTCAAAACACGCAATTATACAAAAAGAAGCTGACAGCCAGCGGAAATCTGAATACACATATTTAGAACGCTAAGAAAACCAATTTTACTTAGTTGCTTTGAATGTAGGCCGATTTTTTAAATGCAAAATTTTAGACTGTTAAGAAGATTTCTTATCCAGCCAAATAAGTATCAGTAGAAGTTGCTAAAGATACTTAAGCAACAAGAATCAATAAGCTTTATAAATTTGCAGGACTCGTTGCGGAGACTTAGTTTTCATGGATAAAAGCTCTTACCCAATTGTGTCTCTCAAATTTAACTACCACTATAGTTTGCAGTTCCATACTTAAAAGATTCTATTCCGGATATGAACTCTTGGGGTACATACAATATTCCTTCCCAGTATATATATAATATACTCGTACATTGGTCAAACTAAGACGGCTTTGAAATTTCGCGATGAGGAGCATGAGAGATGTGTAAGGAAAAAAGAAACACATAAATCCGTTATTGCTCAAAATTGTGGGTAAAATAAAATCCTATTTAATGTTTCTCTGCAGCCAAAACTGTTAAAAAATACCATCTTCCGTTGCGAAATTTGATTTCCTACAGAAGTTTCACTTTCATAAAAATCTATCAGTTTTAGATAATGAGACCAGTTATAATCCATGCTTACATTCAGCTTTTAAAAAAACTACTTCATAGCTGTTTTTCACTTTTGTCAATAGCTTTGTTCCTTTGTCTGGAGCTTTTCTTCTTTCCTTAGCTGGAACTTTCTCGAGATTTTTGGCTATTGTTATCGCGCGAGCATGTTTTCCCTTTGTCATTTACATTCCTACAGCCTGAATAAGAAGGTTCTATTAAACTTTGAAATTAGTTCCTGCAAAATTATGCAACTTATAGCGGTTCTTGTTGCTTTAATATCTACAACATTTATTTTTCGGCGTGCTATTTTAACTAACATTAGTTAACACCATTAAAGTTATTTATAGGTACCAGCTACTTCGCTTTCAATCAATGCATATCGTCTTTCTACAGTTTTGATTGAAAACATTTAAAGATTTTAGGTTTGGGTTCCAAAGATTCGAAAGTCTCAGTCTTAGAAGAATTGAGTTGAAACTTTGAAAACTTTAACTTTTCGCATCTAATGAATTAATTCAATTATCACTGTAAACTGTTTTTGCTTTCTACGGGTTCATGGATTTAGAGTAATTGATGGTGATACTTGATGCAAAATCTATGCACAATTTATTCGCCAGTAAGCACTATTACACAGGACAGCTCCAAAGATGCGTTTACACTTTTGGTGGTCGTGTGCTTAATGCATGAAAGAATTAAAGAAAATAAGAGTAGACAATCTCCTATAACAAAAGAATATATTAAGTACTAAATTACAATTTAAATTACATTGCAGAGATCAACACAGAGCTCGGAACACAGTTCATGCTACCGTCGCGTACAGTTGTCTGACGAGAAGTCTGAGTGAGTAATGACGTCGCTTTGCTGCTCCGATTAAGAACTGGATTTTACACGTGGCGCCATCTCATGTATAGAAGTTGAAGTATCTGTCGGAACGCCACAGTACTCCCCCCCCCAAGTACCATCGGTACGTTATAAGTACTTTGGGTTAAATTTAACCTTTATTCCAGATCTGGTAGTTTTAGGTTGCTCTTTAACGGGATGTAAGCTTTCTTCCGCGAGTGATGTTGATGAGGAAGTTGTTGGATCTTGCATTAGAAATGCTGGTTCGAGACAATCGATTCCAATCACTGATTGTTTACCATTGCAGATGATGGTGAAATGTTTCGGTGTTCGTTTGACAACTTTGAATGGACCATCATATGAAGGTGTTAAAGTTGGCTTAATTGCATCGTTGCGCACGAATACGTGCGAAGATGTCTCAAGCGCAGGATGTACAAAATAGCTTGGCTGGTTATGCGAAGATGCTGGGGTTGGCGAGATATTGCTCATGGTCTCACGTAAACGTTGAAGGAATGTTGGAGGGTCGATAACTGGAGTAGATTCTGGGTGAAAGAATTCACCTGGCAGACGGAGGGTTTGCACCATATAACATTTCAGCACAAGTGCTACCAATGTCTTCTTTGAATGCTGTGCGAAGACCAAGCAAGACTAGGGGTAAGGCTTCTGTCCAGTGTGTGCTACTGTGGCACTTCAGACCTTGTTTGAGAGATCGGTGAAAGCGTTCTACCATCCCATTTCCAGATGGATGGTATGGTGTTGTGCGAATATGGCGAATGCCAAGAAGAGAGGTAAGGGATGCGAACAAGTGACATTGAAATTGTCGGCCTTGGTCAGTAGTGATGGTGGTAGGCAGGCCAAATCTTGAAAGCCACTGGGAGATGCATGCTCGAGCTACAGTTTCAGCGGATATATTTTCAATAGGAATGGCTTCAGGCCATCTTGTGTACCGATCAATACAAGTGAGGAGGTAAGTGTAACTATTTGAAGGAGGCAATGGGCCAACCAAGTCTAAGTGCACATGATCAAAGCGTCTTGCTGGAAGGTTAAATTGTTGAATGGGGCTGTGAGCGTGACGGGATACTTTACACCGTTGACATCTAATACATGAACGAGTCCATTCTGTGATGTCTTGATTCATTGCTGGCCAGACAAATCTGTCTGCGATCAGCTTTTTGGTGGCACGGATTCCAGGATGTGCCAAATTGTGCAAAGCATTAAACACTTCACGTCTAAAATTGACAGGAATATAGCGACGTATTCTATTGTTCTCTATGTCACAGTAAATTTTAAGCGTTGGATCAATGTGCAGCGGTTGTAACTGAAGGGAGGTTTGTGGATTTGAGATTAGGTTCTTTGAGTTCCTCGTCATGCAATTGAGCTTTTGCAATTTCAGAGAAATCTGGAGTAGGTGAGGTTGATATTGTTTACCCGAGACAAGGCATCAGCGACACAATTATCAGTACCAGAGACATATCTGATGTCCGTACTAAACTGGGCGATAAAATCCAGACTGTCGAAGCTGAACGAGGAGAACATGAGTCAGAGGTTTTTCTAAAAGCGAAGGTTAATGGTCGATGATCGGTGAAAATGAAATGATGAAGTCGTGTCCTTCCAAAGTTGTGCCGGAAGTATTTAACAGCACAGTACACAGCAAGTAGCTCCCTGTCATATGTGCTGTATTTCCTTTCTGCAGTAGTAAGTTTTCTGGAGAAGAATGCCATTGGGGAAAGTCCTTTAGTGGTATGGGCTTGAAGCACTGCTCCTATGGCCTGTGTCAGATGCATCTACCATTATAGAGAGCTGATCACTAGGTGAGTGATAAGAAAGTGTGGCTGCATTTGCCAGATCGTGTTGCATTGCACGAATGCTGCAAATGCAGATTCAGTCCAAGGGACAGCTCGTTGATCGTTTTTTTTTTTTTTTTTTTTTTTGCTATTCTTCAGAAACTCATCTAGGCCGGCTTGTGTTTTTTGCGGCATTTGGCAGAAAGCGTCGGTAGAAATTTAACATTGCTAGAAAACGCTTCAGTTCAGAGATGGTTTTGGGCTGAGGTAGGTCGTTAATTGCTTTGACTCTTTCCGGTAAAGGTTTGACTCCATTCTGGGTGATAAGACATCCAAGAAAGGAAACTGAGGGTTGACCAAGTACACATTTGGATGGATTTAGTTTTAATCCATGATCTTTAAAGCGAGTGAAAATCTGACGCAGATGTTGAAAATGTTCTTCCGCATCTGTAGATGCAACCAGGATATCATCAAAATATGGGATGCAGAAATCGAGGCCAGACAGTACTTGGTGTATGAAACGCTGAAATGTTTGGCCAGCATTGCGAAGGCCAAATGGCATATATAAGTAACTCAAAGAGACCAATGGTTGGTGTAGTCACTGCGGTCTTGGGCACATCTTCAGCATACACTGGGATCTGATGATATGCTCTGGCAAGATCGAGGGTAGAAAATATATGTTTGTTCCATGAAAAAGATGGGTACAGTCTTGGATATGTGGGACTGGATATCTGTCAGGGGACTGTGACGGCATTAAGTCGACGATAATCTCCACAAGGCCGCCAGTCACCATTAGACTTTTTAACCATGTGAAGTGGACTGGCCCATGGACTTTTAGATGGGCGAATGGTTCCCTGTGCTAGCATGAATTCAAAATTCTTTGCGAGCAGCTTTTAGCATCTCTGGGAAAAGACGATGAGGCTTGGTAAATACAGGTGGGCCATGTGTTTCAATGTGATGATACACTTCTGGCTGATGAGTATGCTGCCCTGATTTGGATGGGATTTAAAATGTCAGGGAATTCTGCTAATAACCGATGAAACCGTGTGCTGCCCGATACAACACTTATGTTGGTAGGTACGTTCCGATATGTGAGAAGCTTGGCCCATTGTGATGTCAGCTGGGTTGTAGCATCAATTAAGCAATTATTCTTGACATCCACTAGAAGGTGGAAATGTGTCAAGAAGTCGACACCAATAATTGCTTGAGTTACATCCGCATAATAATAAAAGGCCAGTTGAAAGTCCGGCGCAAGTTTAAATCAAGTGTCAATAGTTTGGTGCCGTAGGTTGCAATTTGGGTACCATTTGGCTGCATACAGTACAAGTTTATTAAGTTGGTGAGCATTTGTTTTAGTTCTCGGGATTTGCACTGATATGTCAGCTCCAGTATCTACTAGAAAACATAACTGAGTTGAACGATCAGCCAGTACTATTCTGTCCATGTGGCGGACATTCTGTTGGCCAGCAGAAGACCGCCCATTTAGTTTCCCGCAGTTGTTTCAAAAG